CCCCGCCCCGCCCCCCACCCAGTGCCAGCAGTGAGGCCACCCTGGTGCAGGGGCTGACACGGGGGCTGAGCCAGGAGGGAGCAAGGGTTGCGGCTCCCTGTCCCCATCGGGGTCAGCTGGTCCTGGGTCTGAGCAGCACATGCAACCGCTCAGGACGGAAGTGAGCTCGTTAAATAACTTGCAGGGCCTGGGCCGTGGGGCAGCGCAGGGTACAGGGGGAAGGGGCAGGTGGGGGGTGTGGGACAGCTGCGTGACCAAGCACACAGGGGTGTGTAGGCAGCCAGGCGGGCGTGTGCAACCTGCCACGTATGGGCATGGGGAATGGGCAGCGGGTGATGTTGGTAGCCGTGGGCAGGTGGGTGGGGTGTGTGTGCGTGCACTTGTACGTGCGTGTGCTCCTGCAGATGTCACACAATGGCACGAACAGGCAGTACGTTTCAAAGAAACCAGGAAGTTTGTCACCAGCGGATCAGTCAGGGTGGAGCTGCTCCCAGGCACGGCAGGAGCTGAGCGCGCAGCCAGTCGCACGGGGTTGGACACTGCTGGGAGGAAAGGGGCATCGGGAGCTGCTGAGTGGGGCGCGAGGGGCACGGCCTCTGCATCAGAGTCCTGGACCCTCAGTGCTGGAGGCTGCAAGGGAGAGAGGAGCAGGGGCAAAAGACCAAGTGACTCTCCCTTCAGCCTCCGCTCTCTGTCAGCCGTGTGACACGGGGGTTTCAGGTTATGAGCGTTTCCAAGCCTTGGTCCAGATCCTCTCGGATCTCCCCTGCCCCAGGCTTTGTGCCTCTCAGTTTTCCTAGGCAGCAGCACTGGGCAGGACCCTGCCCTAGGCAGTGCTGGCACTGGGCACCACGGACCTAGGCACTGACCCAGCCCATGGCAGATGTGTGTGCGCACGTGTGCAGGGTGTGTGTGTAGGTATGTGTGCGAGGACATGCATGTGCATGGGCCTGCCTTCCTCGGGGGCTGCGTGTTGTCAGTCTGTGGCTGCAGCAGAGCGAATTGCAGAGCAGTGCAGGACGGAGGACCGCAGGAAGGGGAGGAGGCCGTGTGTGTTTGCACAAGGCTGACCCGAGAGGGCTGCTTCCTCTTTTCCAAACAGCTGCAGCCGTTTCCGTGAAAGGGCTGTGGCCTGGGGCAGGGACC